GCTCAGAATAAAATAAAAATTTATCCTAGAGGATAAGTTTGTCAAACTAATATTTTTTATTTCTGGTCAAAAGTTCAGTCCATTTACCATAATTACCTCTTCTTCATTTGTTCACTTTTCCAGTTAGGATGATTTCTTGTTTCCTTCTTTTTCTTTGCTGTTTTACTTTGTGTTGGATTCGGTCTCAGTTTTATTTCTGGCTTGTTTTCCTGCGTTGCATTCTGTTTGTTTTTTTTAGTTTTTATTTTTAATGCGAGCAATGGAAATGACAACTCTTTAATAAGATCCAAGCTTGCTAAACAAAAACAGCTCTTTTAGCTCCTAAAAGGCTGTTTCTTGGAAGCCACCCTAATGCTAATAAACACAAATTCAGTTAGTTTTTATGTTTCCTCAGCTCCGTGTTCGAGTCGTCTTGATCTATGAACCAACAGCACTTAGACACTGAAATTATTTCTTCCATCTGCCAAAACATCTTCAAATCAAGTTAAAATTGTTTCCAAAGAAACTTTAAGAAACAATTGAGCTTTTTTTTTTTGTGTGACAAACCCGGTCTGTGTTGTTGAGAGGAGCCCAACATAAAGCTCCTTTCATTGCTCTGGGCTCCTGTGTGATTTTTCTCCCACACAAGTCTCACACAGTCCATAATGGGGTGAGATGGAGACAGAAACAGAGAGATGGGGGGTCTCTTTAGTCTCATGCTTCAGTAGTAATTTGTCAGCAGCCATGAATGGCCTCCTTCATCAGCAGCAGAGGCTACAAKCAGGAATTTCAGAGGATGTGTGGCGTTGTGTGTACATTAGTGGGGGTCAGCCCCTGAAACTGCAGCTTGCTCCCAGCCTCCTTGTAGCCCAGACCTCTGTTTTGTGTGGGACCATCATAGGCAGTTCCCTCGGAGCCAATCAGACGCTGCAGAAGCCATTACCTCATCGTTATGGTGCCAACTCGGAGCCCGAGCCACCCAAACAAAACGAAACGCTCGTTTCTAAAGTGAAGAAAAGCAGGATGAGAAAGGAAAGTGGTTGTTGGAGAAACTCTACATTTCTGCCTCCGTTCTTGAGTGCTTTTGTTGTTTTAGTWCTGTTTTTTACCCAGAATTCACTGGGATAAATTTCTATAAATTAATTCTTATTAGAGAAACTCTCCATTGAAGMGTTTCACTGTTTAGAGATGATGTTTATTTTAACGTCTTTAAAATGTTGCAATATAAGAACAGAAGCAGCTGTTTAGTGGAGGTTTGTCAGAGATTTGTTCCAGATTTTCACACTGCGAAGCACTTTCTGACCTTATCGTTTGACATTTTGTTCATTTTTTGTATAAATC